TCTTGTGTTGCATTCCCTGCATATCTTCAGTGATTCAAGCTTGTGATGGGCTCCCTATCACCACGTGCTTGGGAAGCCGGTGGAGGAGTGGGTCCCCTTCCCTTGGGCAGCGTATGGAGCGGAGGCTCTTTCCAGGGTGCTCGTTCCGGCGTGCTCCCACCCTCTGAACTGGGCTGCTCTCCAAGGGGCCTGGTTTTCACAGGAGGAACATAGAAACTGTGTAAACTAGGTTTGGGCTGTGCACAGCCTGTTTTGGAGAGGAACCCCTTCCCCTGACGTTTGTCTTTCACCAGCACTTTTCCTGCCAGGAAAAGAAGTCGGCTTCGGGGGAAGCGTGGGTCTCTGACGGCGTGATTCTGTTCTTGCAGCGTCTTGGACAGACGGGGTATCTTGCAGCAAGAGGAGAGCACAGCTCAGGAGGAGTCGTGCCCACGGGGGCCCAGCGCTCAAGAGCCCACCGCTGCTCAGGGCCCGGGTGGGCAGGAGGAGGAGAGCGGCGCTCAGCAGAAGGATGGCAGCCTTCCTCGCCTGAGTGCCGTGAGTGATTCCCTCTGGGGGGGTGAGCGGGCTGCGCCTGCTTGGAGTTGCTGGTGCTTTGGGCAGCAGAGAGAAAGCCGATAGTGTGACTTAGCAGGAACAAAGCAACACTTGGGGCTTTGCTGAGAGGCTGCCGATGAAAAGCCTGTTGTGCTCTGGCCCTGGAAACCAGCATCTCTGTGGAGCTGGCTGGGAGGGTGCTGGGCTCCTCTGGCTCCTAGGGAAACCTCAAAGGAGATCACAGCTGGCTGCGGTTTTGGAGATGTCAGCCCGGCCGCGAGAGCACCCAGGAGCTGGCACCTATGGAGGCTAGGAGGGGTTGAGGAGGGCTGGGAGACTGCAGGCATCTTGTTTTGGCACTGAGTGGAAGCTGAAGGGCTGTCCCTGGGAAGGGCCCTGCCAGGTGTGGGGTCTCCACCCTTGGAGAAAGCCGTTGCCCCGTGGGACATGGCCCCAAGCAGCCTGCTCTGTCTTTGAAATTAGCCCCGCTTTGAGGATACGATTGGACAGGAGACCTCCAGGGCGCCCTTCCCCCTTACATTGTTCTGCGAACATGGTGGGAAATGGCTGGGCCTACTCCTGCTTAGGCACAGGCTGCCTGTTTCTCCGGTGGGAACAGTCCAGGCCACTTCTGCTGGAGCAGGCCAGGGCTCCAGGTCTTCATGAAGCTGCTGTTTTGCCTGTTTGGTGGCCCCCGGTTTCTCCTTTTCCCAAGCACAGCTGAGACCTCTGCCTGGTGAAGCTGGAGGCAGGAGCAGGGCAGCGGGGCCAAGTGTCTGTGTGCTCAAACAGATGCTCTCTGCTGGGGTGTATTCATGCAAGTCACTGCTGTCTTCTCTCTCCAGGTCCCTGCGCCATCCCTGAGCAATGCTGAGATGCCAGAGGAGAAGCAGCTAACGTCTGGGGAGCTCCCGGTCCCATCCCAGGACGCTGGGCAAGCAGAGCACTAGCCTCTGCTTGAAAGGGAGAACTTTCTTGTTTTGTCTAATCAAAGCTGGAAGTGATTGAGGAGAGGAGGAGATGGGCTGGATGGCAGGCAAACGATTCCTCATGGCCATTTTGCTTTAGTTATTATTCACCTCGATGCGCAGGCGGTGCGGGCTGGTGCTGGCCTTGCATGGTGTCAAAGGATAACGAGCGTGAGTGGCCCGCTTTGGTCACCAAGGGGCACTCACCACCACTGAGGCTGGTCTCCTTGCAGGCCGAGGCAGGACCTCTTGCTCTGCAGGTTGTCCTGGATGCTAAATACCGGCTCGGTGGCCAGGGCTGTCCCTCCGTCTGGCCCCGACTCTCTGCCGAGACAACTTGTGGTCAAGCAGCTCAGAAGCGACGTTAGGGTTGGCCTGCTCCCTACTGCTGAGGAATCCTGATGGGAAGGGGAAAGCGATTTATGGCAGTAGCGTCCTCTCTCCCCTCCTCCCTCCTTCCTCTAATCTGTGGCATTGTTTTATTGGTTAACGTGGCAGGGGTTGTCAGGAGGCATTTTGGTGCCAAAAGGGCCAAAACAACCGGGAAGGTGTTCTGCTGGCAACGGTTTTTAAAGTAGCTTCCTTCCCGTGCTCCTTCTTTTCATGTGACTTAGCCGGCGCGAGAGCAGTTGTGGCGGGGGCCCTCCTTTGCCTCCTTCCCGGGGGCTCACGCTGAAACGGGGGCGCGAGGGAAGGAGCGGGGCAGCCCGTCTTCCTGCCGCTTGTCTCCGCCCCGCACCGGCCGCAGAGCGGTTGTGCAAGGGGTGTATCAAGCTGCACGGGAGGGTCTGCCCGTGCCACCGGCTTTCCAGCTAGTGCCGGGGCTGCGTTTGCTCCCGGGTGCCCGCGCCGAGCACAGGCGTGCCCTCCCCTTGCCCGCCTGGCTGTGGCGCGCCGCTCGGCTGCCGCTCTGCAGAACCTCAGCCCCGATTCTGTGTCGTGTCCCTGTGTCCCCCCTGCCTTGCCCTGCGTTTCTCAGCCATCCTCGGCTGGCTTTCAGAGCCTCGAATCTTCCCTGGGCTTTGCCGGCTGTCCTGAGACTGGCTGGGTGGCGTCGGCCATCTGCGCCTCCTCGGCGGAGGAGGGAGGAGAGGCCCCCGTGGCGGTGGCAGACCTCTGTGCCGTGAGCGCTCCTCTTCCTCTCAAGGCTCCCTGTCCTGCGCCTGGCAGCCGGGCTGGGATGAGCCTCATGTCTGCGGGGTCCCCGCAAAGGCTGGCGATGGAGGGAAGGCTGTTTTTGTGCTCTCCATCCCCTACGACGAGTGCTGGGTACTTCTGTGCCTCCCCGCAGACGTGCGGTGAGTGGGTGGCAGGTGGAGGATGTCCTGCCAGGGCAGTCCTGCTTGTTTCTCTGCGCTGCTCCTGCCTGGCAGCGTGAAGTTGCTGCTCCTCCTTCCCTGGCCTCAAATGCCATCCTGCTTTCGACAGTGGCGTGGAGCAGAGCGAAGTGGGGAGCCTTGTCCCTCCGGAGCCTGGTGTGTGCCTCCCAGCTCCCTCCTCTTCCTTGGCCCCTTGCAGCGTGGACCTGGGCCGTGCCTGGCGGCGGGTGAAGTGGGATTCACGTGGCGGCCGGCGCTGCCCCCTCTCCCATAGCGCTGGGGTCTCCCCTCCTGGGGGAGAGGGCAGAGCTGCCGCCCTGGGCTCTGGCAGCGGGTTTGGGGTTGCCCTGCAGCTGCCTTCAGC